ATTTGTGGATTCCATCCTTCATGACAAATTGGCATATTGACTTTGATAATTGTGGATTGAATTGAAGGGTGGGGCAGTGCACCTATTTCTTCAAAGGAAGGGTCCACATTTGAAGAAGGGTCCGCAACATCTTTTTGAATGCCGATCAGAAGGAAGCATCGTTTGTATATGTATGATGGGAAGATAATTATTTGGTATTTGTGGTTTCAGGCTGTCTATCCACGGTGGAGAAGAAGAACCATAACAGATGGTGACTAGATCCTCGACCGGGAAATCAGAGTTCCGGTGAGATCTCGAACTCAACTTTTGTACCTTTCTTTCTCATGATATCCAGTTGGTGATTCCTTTTTCTTCCCTTGCACTTACAGATCTGCTGGAAGTCTTGATTGGTTGAGTGTCCGCCGCAAAATCGTATTTCCATCGGAGAAAGTGATTGGATAGATCGGTAAAGGTTAGTCACCGTCCTCTATTACTCCATTCCATCTCTTTTTTTCTTCTCCCTGCTCCTGTTATCTATCCCAGTACACTTTCTGGTCTAACTTTTGTTTGGTCCTTTTGAGGGCAGTCCTGTATTATGGAGCTGAAAACTTGAGGACGATACAACAGGTGCTGGAAATGAAGATGATTGAACAGCTGGGAAGGGCCATAGATTTGAATGTAGGAGGGTTGCAGTTTTCCCATTGATGCTCTGTGTTTTGTTAACTGCATGGTGTGTGGAATGTTTTTGGTTAATTTTCATGTTGTTTGTCGATTCTTAATATTTTTTTGTGCATTGGTATGGAATATCTATGCATCAGTTTCATTTCTCAGAGTTGATTATTGGATTCAATGTTTGTACCCTAAACCCCAAAACTTCATTGGAGACTTATTGGAATTTTAGCAAGATCAGGTGGTTGATTCTGGGAGATTTGGAGTGGGAGGTTTTCTCAAAGGCTGATAATTACATCCACGACTTCTTGGAGGTGCAGGGGAAGAGCAGAGTGGTGAGCAGAAGCATTGATAGAAGATATTGCGGGTGGGAGAAGCTTCCAATGGGAGTATACAAGTTGAATACTGATGTTGGGTTGAATAGTAGAGGGGAGGCTGCTATGGGTTGTGTAGTGAGAGATTGGGATGGACGAGTGATGTTTTATGCAAACAAGTGTGAGAAGAGCAAGTGGCCGACTATAGTGGCAGATGGAAAGGCTATTCTCTTTGGTTAGCAAAAGATGCTGGAGAGGGGATTAGGCTCTGTGATCGTGGAGATAGATTGTAAAAAGTTGGTGGAGCTGCTAAAGGGAGAAGTGGAATGCAGGTCTGAAATAAGCAGTGTGTGTAGGGACATTAAAGAAATGGGGAATATATTGAATGTGATTGGTTGGAAATTTGTGTTTAAGGAAGCAAACGTTGTTGCTCATTTAGTGACTCACATAACCCCACCTAAGAGTGGAGAGTATGTATGGAACGATTGTGACTCTGCTGTTGTAGCTGATGTAGTGGCCTGTGTGGCTTGTGGTTAATATTATGAAATTCAGCAGGTTCTTTCTCAAAAAAAAACACAGTTATTTGGATGCATTAGTGGTGCTGAACTTCAGTATTTGTAAACCATAGTTCAATTTTCAATTTTTCATGTTATTACTTCATGGTTTATTTGTTACTTGCTATGCAGACAAGTGTAGATGGGTTGTTCCATTCTAATACCGTATAGGTTGTCACAAAATCTCAAAGGAAATTGCAATACCTACCGACTTTGTGAATGGCAAGCTTCTCATTGAGGATTAACATGATGGTCTTCTGTGGGTTTTAAAAATCCATTGTTTGGAAAAAAATGGAAGAATGCTTAGGTTTTAAAAATTTGTTGATTGGAAAATCTTCGATTTCAATCCCCAGTACATTTTGTGCGCTCCTGCTGTAATGAATCATCTATGTTGTCATTCTTGGTTTAGCAACGATGATGCTTGGTGTGGGTTGGCAAACCACGCAGTTCTACGTCCAATGTACACTGATGACACATATCAACATACCCCGCGGCAGAGCGCGGGTTAATTCCTAGTGTAAGTAATCCGTGTTCTAGCTCCCATTCAAGACCATATTGCAACAATTAAGTCAAAGGAATCCGCTGGATCTCACCTCGTCTTTTAAGATTCATTTATCATTATTTTGACTTGATTATTTTTAATATATTCAAACTAAAATTACCTAAAAATCGGAGTTATTGTTCTTTAAGACAAAAAATCAGAAACACTATTCAACGAGACCCAATAAACAGTTGTTGACAGTTCAAGTTTAAACTCATGGATACCATTTTGTGCTGGCCAAGCAGGGTCGTTAATTAATTATATGGCTAATATCAGTCATTCAATTCTTATCATCTAAACTCGGAACGAGTTTGACTGTTTATCTGGACGGCTGACGACCAACAGTATAAGGAAAGTAGACACCTTACCTCAGACGACAAGTGTGCTCTATGCAATACAGACATAGAATCCAATATTCACTGTTTGAGAGACTGCGACAAGATAAGAAGAGTCTGGGAAAAAGTGGTGCCTTTACTGTTACAACAAAGCCTTTTCTCCCAGAATCAGGAGGATTGGTTGAAGGACAATATAGCTAGCAATGAGACTGAAGAAGAGGCAGGGGATTGGTCTAGTTTATTTGCTCTTATCTGCTGGTATATCTAAAAACACAGAAATGATTATACCTTCAAATCTACCAGAATATCCAGCCCTACTCTCATCAACGACATTATTTCATAAGCAAAAGACTGGATGAGAGCTTGGAAAAGAGCGATAGAAGCGAAAAATCTACTAACAAAACCTGCTAGAGAAGAACAACTAATAGGATGGACGCCTCCGCCTACAGGATGGACCAAGCTTAACACATACGGTGCAGCCCAGGGAAATCCAGGAATCATGACTGCATGTGGATGCATCAGAGACGATGAAGGTGACTGGTTAGGAGGCTTTGTCTACAAGATCGGTACTGGTTCTGCCATTCAAGCTGAATTGTGGGGCATTCATCATGGCCTTGATCTAGCATGGAAGAAAGGCATTCAATGTCTGATTGTCGAAACAAATTCAAAGCTGACGATTGAGCTTATTAACAAAAGAACAGACCCGGTGCATCCTCTCACCACTTTGCTAAATGCTATCCGTAGAATGCTTGCTCAAAGTTGGTTAGTTCATTTAATTCATATGTATTGTGAAGGGAATAGAGTCGCGGACTGGCTCCCGAAGCACAGTCTTGTCTATCCCTTTGGTACGTATGAAATAAATGAACTACCGATGGATCTTAAAAGGCTCCTGCATGAAGATGTGATTGGGATCAGCTTCTCGAGACAGGTTGTGATCGATAACAACAATAGTTAGCTCTCGGCTCAATTGGGGCCAGGGGCGGACCCAGGGGCATTTGGGGGTGTCCCTGGACACCTCTAAATTTTGGAAGATCGATTATCCAAACCCCGGTGTTAATTTACGTATAGACAAAAAAATTATAACTAATAGTCTGGGACACCCTAAAATTTGAAAACGATTATACTACTCTCGTTTGTAGTTTGCGTATGAGAATATAAGTGGTAGTTTGGGTAATTCAAACCCGGGACACTACTATTACTAATAAATATAATTTCCATTAGGCTACAAATTTTTTGTTGCTATATTCTAAACACTGTGTAATAGCAAAACTCTATTCTCTATCTTTCATTATTTTCAAAACCTAACAATTAATCTAATTACAAGTTACCCTTAATTTATATTGATCTTATGGTTGTACGACACGTGTTGAAAGTGTTTTTTCAACTTTGAGTTACATCATGAACAAATTTAGAATTCAAATATGCGTAAGCTCGTGAATGATCGTCTAGTAGGATATACCGAGACAAATTTGTTGAGCAGTGTATACACCAAGTATTTTTTATAATTTGTTTAGAATATGAAAATACATCATTGACTTTTTTTAACTTGTACGAGTTGGGTATTTTCTTACTAAATAATAATATAATTTTATTAATTATTAATTATTTAATTTTTATTTTACTTTATTTTTTGAAAGAGGACACCCCTATGTAAATTTTCTGGGTCCGCCACTGATTGGGGCGGTCTTGGTCTAGTGGTCTGTTTTGTTCTTTCTTTAGATCTTGTTTGATTTCTTGAGTTGAGAGTGTCCCTCTTCGTTTTGGAAGATGATCTGTATCCCCTTTGAATCTCTGTAACTAGTCTCATCTGGCGTTTTTTTTTTGCCTCCCTTCAATAAAAAAAATCTAAACTCGTGTGTCATCTATCATCTATCATTATCTCTCTTCTTTTCCATCATTCGCGGGAAATCCATTATCTCTCATTTGTTGTTCGTGCAACCAAATTAAAGAAGAAGCAAAGGCCGATAGAGATTGTGTTAAACTGAGAAATAGAAGAAAAAAACCCTCCAAACATGTATGTCAATGAATTGTACTAATAAGTATACCGCAAAAACACAATCATCAACAAATTTCAGCAAACTCATCGAAAGGTCAAAGAAGTATGAGTAATTGAGTATAACATGTGAATATGTTATAATAATATATTATATTCTACAGACAATATATATATAGTTGTTAAAATAAATTAAAGAAAAAAGGTTATGCACTCTTGTGTTAACTTTTTTTTTCTTCCATGGGTATCTATTCATTAAACTTGGGAGGACTGCGAACACTAGCATGCAACTCTAACGTTGTGTAACAGTTAACACCGATGTTTGTTATTAGGCCTATGCGACCTATTCATATAAATTAGTGGCACTGTACCCTATTTTCATGACAAAAAATACTAATTCTTCCTTATTTCATGTAGTATTTCCGAAATTAATGCACCTCCTCAATTGTTTCCAACAATTTTTCAAAAGGAAAAAATAAATGAAAAACCATAATTGTGGATAGATCATTTCTTGATCTATACTTGTCATTTTTAGGCCAGTTTATAATATTCTCTGTATAGTTCCAATTCTCCATTTTCCATTACTGTTATAAAAAGAAAAGAAATTGTAGATAGAGAAATGGATAATGACAACTTAAATACTTAATTTTTTCGATTAAAAAAACTTACTCTTTCCTTCCTCACTACGAACATTACATATATCGGCCACAGTGACACAGGGAAAACCAAAACCAGAAGAGGGAAGAAGAAAAACAGAGGAGACGAAATTTCTGTATATTTCGGTGCACAATTAAAACCCTTCTGCCCAACCAGTCCAGCGCCTTCAATGCTCTCCTTACTCTCTCATCTCTATCTCCTCAATAAACCCATAAAATAAATTAATTGCAATCTTTCCCCCATTCCATTCCAGTCCATTCTCCTTCCCACCACCATATCTCTCCATTCTCCAATAATCAACGCCTTCCCCTCTTTCCAATAGGTGTGAGTGGGTGGAAGAAGAAGCAGAAGTGCTGAGCTTTTGTATTAGTCAAAATTCTCGGCCAATCTTTCTCCCCTATATATAGATTTATATTCCATAGCTACCCAACAAATTACACAGATGGCAGAGATCTCAGGCTCCAACGGCAGCGCCACCAACCACGTCGTCGTTCTTGACGTCAAGCAAGATCATCATCCGCCGGCGCGTTCCTCTTCCATATTGTCCTTCTCCGTTCCCTTCGTCCAGAAGGTTGAATTACGGAATTACCCAACACGTTTTCGGCCCGACTTTCTGATTCTGCTTCGCCAAATCAAGCAATCTAATAAATGCTCTGTTTTTTGTGGTTGCTCTGTTTTTTCAGTTGGTGGCAGAGTTGTTGGGGACATACTTCTTGATCTTCGCCGGCTGTTCGGCGGTGGCCTCGAATCTGAACTACGATAAAGTGGTGACGCTTCCAGGGATTTCGATTGTCTGGGGACTGGCGGTGATGGTGCTGGTTTACTCCCTCGGACACATCTCCGGCGCCCATTTTAACCCCGCCGTTACTCTCGCCTTCGCTACTTGCAAGCGCTTCCCCTGGAAACAAGTACCCAAATTTTCTTTTCTTTTTTCCCATCTTCACAATTTAGTCTTTTATCTTTTCACATTTGACATTTTACTCCCACCACCGCCGGTTCCGATTGCCCTAATTTTCATCGGTTTTAATTAGGTTCCGGCTTATATAGCGTGCCAAGTAGCCGGATCCACCCTCGCCGCTGGGACAATCCGGCTGATCTTCCCCGGACACCAGGATCACTTCACCGGGACTCTGCCGGCGGGACCCGACATGCAATCGTTCGTCGTCGAGTTCATCATTACCTTCTACCTCATGTTCGTCATCTCCGGCGTTGCCACTGACAACAGAGCCGTAAGTCTTTTCATCATTTTCCAGAAATGATTTATTAAGGTTGATTGCTTTCCTCGCGATAATTTTGATGACCTAATCAGTGACCCCCACAAAGTTCCTGTCTTTAAACAAAGAAAGTCATTAGTAGGAGACTTGCTTAGCGTTTGTCACAATTAAACCCAAACATAATCACTAGGCGTGGCTAATGTGTATATGGGTTGAACCCAATGTGTTTTTGGGTTTAATTTTCTAACCTAACCTTATAATGAAATCTTCACTTTCATGACTACCGATAAGATTGTAAGTTCAAAACCTTTACTTTCACGAATTCGTCAAATATTCATTAAGTACCATAATGGAAAAGAGACAATTAAACCAAAACAGGGGTTTTGGGTTCTGACCCCAACTTGTTTGACCTTTTCCTTGTAATATAATCAGTACACGAAAGTGATGTTTGGAGTTATTTGCGGACTAATGGGAAGGGTTTGGTTTTGTTTTGTTTAATAATAATGCAGATTGGTGAACTAGCCGGGCTTGCAGTTGGATCAACCGTGCTGCTTAATGTGATGTTCGCAGGGTATACTCATTAATTAATCCTTCCCCAAGCATTCCTAATCATCATAATTAACATTATCATTTCACTTGATCAGTCCTGTTTAATACGGTTTCTGGATTCTCCTGCTGATGAAATGAGTGACATAACAATGAAGCATAATATCTTGCTAATCACTTCACGTAATTACTAACAATTCTCTGGGTTTGACTCTGACTTTGAACGCAGGCCGATCTCGGGGGCGTCGATGAACCCGGCGAGAAGTTTGGGGCCGGCGATCGTGTCGCATCAGTACAGAGGGATATGGATATATATGGTGGCGCCGACGTTGGGAGCCCAGGGCGGCGCGTGGGTTTACAACTTCGTCAGGTACACCGACAAGCCGTTGAGAGAGATCACGAAGAGTGCTTCTTTCCTCAAGAGCACCGGCCGGTCGTGATGCGCTTTTGATCTACCTGTCTGAAATCTGATTCATAGATGATAATGTTGAAGAGAAAGGAAAGCCATTTCATCTCTTTTGTACATCTTTGGTCCCATATATTTGGCTGGATTGAGAGGGTGTTTTGATTTGCCAATTGGGTCCTTTTGTCTAAGTAGCTAGCAGCAGTACAGGCTAGATCAGTAAAGTTTTATAACAAAGAACAGATGAATTAGCACAAAGGCTAGCCTTCATATATCCTCTTCCCAAGAGGTCGCGACCATAATCTTCTCTTCCTGTTGACATTTTGTGTTTCTCGTTTCATTTCAATTTCTACAACTACCGAATGCTTTGAGTGTACATTCAAAGTGATCTATTCGAATGATTCTTTTGGTAAGTTTATGGGGAACCATGTCCTTTCGTATTCATTATCATTTTACGTTGTAAACTGTTAAGTTATGTTTTAGTTAGAGGTGGCAAATGGATTGGATCGGTGGATTGATGGATTGGATTGGTGGATCCATGGATCAAATGGATTGGATCTAATGGATTGGTGGATTCATGGATTGGATCAAGTGGATTGGTGGATTATCCATGAATCCAATTGACATCCTCAACCAAGGACCAATATGTAAAATGTAAAAAGTTTAGGTACTAAAATGTCATAATGAAAAATTTTAGGTACCAAAACGTAATTTTCCAATGATATTTTTCGTATAAAAATTAAATTTTAGGTACCAAAATGTAAAAAATAACAATTATAGGTACTAAACCATAATTTGCCAATGATCCATGGATCCAACCCATGAATCCACCAATCCAATTGGATTTGGATTAAATGAATTGGATTTAAATGGATTGGATTAGGTGGATATTTTTAATGGATTGGATTGATGAATTGAATTGAAATTGCCACCTCTAGTTTTAGTTATACGTAGAGATATTTTGTTTTTTTGGGTATTTTAAGGAAATTTTTGGGAATTATTAGTAATTTCTTAATTAGGCAAAGTAGGAGTATTGTATGAGAAGTCTAGGGTTCTATGTATTCTGTAATTCGTATGAGTTAATTAGTCATGCATAATAATAGAAATAAAACCCAAAACCCCTCGTCCTACCCTCTCAATTTCGTCTCTCCTCTTCTTTTCCCCAATCCCCCGATTATTTCTTGGCCAAATTCTCAGTTCAATTCTCAATGCCAAATTCTATCTTTTCAACCCTAACTATATTTTATTCAGTCCTCTAATTCTGATATCATATCATTGAAAATTCAAAATTCCATCAGTTTCGGCCTTATTCCGAAATTCCTTAATGTACAGGAAAAGTATAAAAGTTAGCGGGTCATTCTCATCATTTGCCTACATCACACCGTCATTTTAATTTCATCTATTTTAGAATGTCAATGAATTGCGAGACCACTTAATCATTTCAAAACCATTTACTTATTCCCGTACTATTTATGTATATATTTCTTCACTTCTACGATTTGTTTGTACTGATTGCTCAATCGACTCAAACAAAATCGTTGTCCATGTACGTGAATGTTTTCAATCTCACACAATAAGTTGCAAAAAGAGCAGCCGAAAAATAAATGGTCGGTCTGCAAGTCTTCACCAATTCCAGTTTGCCATGGGACTATATGAATATGATCATAACTTGCAATACAAAATAAAACCCCAACATTTCTACTCTGAGAAAGCAGTAATAAAAATGCATGTAGGCAACCATTTTGGGTAGTTAAGAAAACACCAACGCTTTTAAAAGCAGTAAAGCTATACACGTAGACTACCTTTTTGGCAGTTAGGAAAAACAACACACTTGTCCCTCGCCTTGTCTTACACATGAAAATTCCTGTGAGAAGTAAAAGGTCCTTAGCCAACAACAACCCATTATCCATAAAGCCATCAAGACCTGGAATTCTTATCAAAGATGAGAAAATCATGAGAATCTACTATCTTTTTTGACCAATTTGCACGGGCATCATGGGGGAGGTAAAGTCATCAGCTGTCGTAAAGAAAAAGTCCCATGGAGCTGCATTGATGAAGACAAACTAACTACATGACACAAAATGTCGTCGTCCTTATCACATATGATGATTCACGACTGTCAAAATCAATTTCATCATCCTCCTCACAGTTCAAACTTTGCGAATAAATTTACCGAGATTGGACAATGTACTTTTCTCATCGTTGAATGAATGCTGTGACATTTATTATGTCACCGCATTCATCCATGATCCAACCGTTGCTAAAACCTCAACACATAATCCACAAGTCCCTATGAGCACGATCTCACAACCGGACTGTATGCACCATGCCAGGTTGCATCATCTGACATTGATTTTCTGAGCTCTTACTTATCCAAACGCACATGATTCTTGTTGCAAATCCTTTTTAGGCGGTCAAATATTCGATCCAACGTGCCCATTTGATTCTTAGTTTATCAGAACAATCTAATTTAGCTCTTGAAAAAGGTGGCGCATGCACAATGTTTATACCATCTCAGGCATCCAGTCTAATGGACGCTTATAGACAACCATGACCTTGGCCTCAAACTCCAATAACCAATGGGATAACGTTACCTGTACATTTGGAACACAACTCTGAATAGAAACTAAAAGAAGAACAGTATAGTCAGGATTTCATAAGCTAATGAGTGAGCGATGTTCAATTAACTGCTACAATCAGATACATACACGCCCCAAGGCAAAATGGAAATTTTACCTTCGCTTGGGGAGATTGTTTCGACTAGAACTGTGTACTTCAGGAGTAGAAACATTTCTTGGCCTAGGTCTCGGGAGAATTACAGGTCTACAACATATTAGAGCAGCCAGCAACTCCATCACAAAGGATATGAGAGTAATCCACACAAAGATGGTCTTCTTCCAACCCCATATGATCCTTCTAAAGAAAGGGAGTTGAGACTCGAGGGCCAGGGAGGCATCGTACAGTTCTGGTATACCACCACCGGGATTGAATTCGGCTCGCTGTTCAATCATCACCCTGAGGCAGGAAGTCGGTACATCACCTCCTGCTAAACCTCTTATCCTCAACCGCAGTGTTTGGGATTCGGATATGTAACCCGCAACAAGGGGCACGACTTTAAACAGAGTTAAAAGAATTCGGATTGGCTCGCTTTTGAACTTCAACATGCATGGATGGCTTTTGCTCACGAGGACGCTGCCATCAGCTGCGAGAAACTCCACCCGTACCTTCAATGTTCCAGATGGCAAACATATCAACCAAGCACTCGAGTTGAATGCATATTACCCAATTCTCAACTATGGCTCAATCCATTCAGTTTAACTAGTTGGGACCAGTTGGTGTCTCTAGTTGATCAAATAACCTATTTCCCAACCAAATACACCAACTTCTATCATCCAAAATGTGTAACATGGAGATCAGTTTGGCTTCATAATCTTGGTGATTCCAAAAAATTGTCATAATGAGCATGGAGTGGTCCTATTTGCCAATTCGGCCAAACTTGCTCTACTTCTCACAGATGCTATCACTTTGGTCCTGAAGTTAGTAATGAATGAACCCCCCCAATAATGCCTCAGTCCCTATGATAGAAAGAAGTATACCTGTCCTCTAATTCTACCGGTAATCTATGTTGGTATCTGACAATGGAAACAGGAAACCCTATCTGTAGCTTTCATCCTCATCCAACATTGAGGTTTTTTCTATTATCACTATGGAAGCAAAAGTTGGTTGCAAATCCAACAAAACACAGCACATCTGAAGTAAATAACCACAAGAATTCTAGCTCTTTAGAGATTATACATCAGTGAAGAAAGGAGTACCTGAAACATCCCGAGATTTCTGTTGTACTCTGATTCAGGCAGAGTCATCGATACTGTAGCCTGCACTTTATGCTTGGGAGGTATGACTTTCTGCCTGAAACTCATGATCTCCCCAACCTTACTATCTTTACAGTCGACACCACAGCCAACACCAGGACAAGAGACCATTGGAACAAAAGCCACCGGTTTGCTCTGTGTGAAATCGAAATTCAATTCCTCCCTTATCTGCAACGGCTCTTCCACCAGAAACTTCATCAGCAAGCTGCTAACCATAATTGCCATGACCAGCAATCCACACAAAATGATACAAACATAAACGCAGAGAACCAACCCCCACCCAACTCCCAGCAAGAGCTTCCATTTCGTCTGATGCTCCTTTAACCAATCATTCACCGTAGAACTCAAACACCCAACAGTTGAGTTCCATATGGAAAGCGACCGCTGCAGCAAGAATCTCTTGCCACGCCTTGTAACGCCAAATGGATCGGTGACAAACATATAGGAGCAGTAGAGAGCCCATAAAGGGAAAGAAACGAAACTGAGGATCAAATTGAGTTGGAATCCAGCTGCTTTAATCACCAATCCAGCTATCAATTCAAGCAGATTCGAAGAAGGCGGTTCAAACACTTCACCTCGCGGCGAGTCGATGGCTCCTCTTCCTCTATCATTATCCAATTCCATGGCCGTCAACACAGACTCCTCTTCCTTTTCTTCCTTCTTCGCATCTTCGCTTAACCCGTCCACGGCTGCAATATTTTGAGATGAAGGCGATTCCACTTCATCTGTACCCTTCGAAGACTCAACTATCTCCGAATCGCTCCCGATTTCTTTCAAATCGGGGTAAAAGGCCTTCTCTTTCTCTACCGACGATATCGCGTTCTTACTGTCACGCTGCGTGACGGAGGAGGCGATTGTAGAGGCTTCCTCCTTATCGGATCGCTTGAATTCATCATCGTTAGCGAACCCGCGACCAGGGACCGGTCGACGGCGAAGGGTAGTCCGGGGAGAGGAAATCTCGGTGGAAGGTTCGGAGACGGTGGAGTCGGAGGTGGATTGATCCGATTGGTCGTTACAACTGAAGCAGTCATCGAAGGGGAAGTCGTCGAAGGCCTCAAAGAACCAGCCGTCGTCCGGCGGGAAGCTGTGGTTCGGCTTCTCCGATGATTCCATTTAAGAGAGGTAAGGGATTTACCCGATTTGGGGATGGAGAAATTGGGGGCCAACGGAAACCAAACAGATTTCGGTCGTCCTTTCCACTATGTTTGGCAACAAGGGGGGTGCAAGTTCGAGGGGGGTACAAGTTGAGGGGTAAATTGTTGGGGGGTGCAACTTGGTGGAGGGTGTAAGTGGAGGGGTAAATTGTTGTTTGGATGAAAAAGTAGGGGGGTGCAAATAGAGTAAAAAGTAAGTAATTATATTATTATAAAATAAATTTATCAATTTATAAAATATTATCACAAAATAATAACATGAAAATTCAATATATAATAATAAAAATAATTTTAATAAAAATAATTATTATATAATAATGCTCAAATATAATTATTTATAACAACAATAATAATCATTGGTCGAGCAACCTCGAAACTCGAAATCCAACTCGTAACTAGTCATCCTAACGGGGTTCTCGTGCCTAACTTTAAATTGAATATGGTCAAACTTAGTCAAACACGTTCGAATCTGTAAGTTTTAACTACTTATTAAAGTAAATCGAGTTAACTAAACTGTTCCTCTCTATCTTTTCAACAAACGCTTCTTATCTCTAATTTTCAATGCAAATTCGGGTCAACTAAGAGATATCGATTTGACGAGGCGAACATTGACAAACTTGCTCTCTGAGTCAAACGGTCAACCCCAAACAACTTCTACACTAATATAGATATAAGAAAAAATTAATAATATTAATTATTATGTAATTATAATCTAATTAAAAATTCATAATTCCCCTCCTCCCCCTTCCCCCTCCCTTCCTTCCTTCCTTCCCTTGCACCCCAATTTGGGGGGTAAGCCGAAACAGTGAATTTACGCTCACGTTTTGCACCCCTCTACTGTTACAAAATAACCAAACGGGGGTAAACACCTTGGAACTTGTGTTTACCCCTCCAAACTTGCACCCCCTTCCATTTACACCCTTTCCCAAACATAGTGTTCGGGTTTGGGTTACAGGGTTAGGTGTCCGGCGTCGTTAAGTTCACGTGGTTAGCGCGGTGGGGCCTTCGTTTAACACTTAATGGCGCGGCTGTAATTTCTGCCGCATCAGGGCCCGAAATTGTACATATGACAGGCCGGGCCAGAATAAACACTAGTCCTATTATTTCAGGGCCGGGCTTTTAACCCCGGGAAATTGGTTCCAATTTTTATTAAAAAAAAAAATGGTTCCAAAACTGTGTTTTTTACTAAAATATTGTGATTTCAAAAAATAATTATCAAAATATAGCATCAGAAAAGTATTTATAAATATTTCCCTAAAAAAAAGTATTTATAAATATATCATGATCCTAACAACACTATACGAAGGTTCTTCTCCAGAACCCTATTAGCTCCAAATTCCCTGCCTCCTGCGCATAGCAAGGAGGGACCCTTAGGTCATTTTCTATAATTAATATGGGTAGTGGGCCCTAGTGAGCACAAAAGTTTTGATTTAAAATCGATGCTTCCTTCAATCAATTTTTTTAATTCCTATCGGTCTGCAATGGATATACTAAATGAAACCACTATTGAACAAGTCAAAATAAAGTTGCTTGCTAAAAGAGAAGGGATGGTAGACAATATGATTTGTCATCTGCAAATAAGATCGTTGCTTTAATTGTTGACTTTTTAGTGTAAGAGAATATAGTCACTTAATTAAATTATCGTCAAATTTACAGGCGAGAATAGCTTCTCCTCAAATGGAGCGACCTTGTTGCTGGTGCAAATCCAAGAACTCTTGAAGTCATTAATTTTATGCTAAGGTGAAACTCAGGACATCTATCTATCTATCTATACATAATATTATGGCAATTCAAAATTAAAATTTTGCCACATAAGCACTTGGAAAGCTCACAAGTTGCCAAGGTGAACAATTCTCTTACTAACAAAAATTTGGTTATTGATCTATTTATGAAACTATCTCTCTCTTCATTTAATATTTTCTTTTCTTTTATCCAATAATTCTTCTTTTTTTGTGCTTTTGCATTATACCAATGTACATTGTAGTAGACTAATGTTTGGAGAGTGACATATATGATATATCACATTTGCTTAAACCCAAAAATACATTATTAGACCTTAATAATTATGTTTTATACTCTTTTTTCTAAAACTAAATAATAAGTTACATTTCTATGATCAATTTAAATGAACACACATAAATAATAACCTTTTTGTCAATTAAACTAAATATAAAAGTGAAAATAGATAGTGAAATATATCACCTTTTTGGAACTAAAAATACCTACTTTAATCTTATCAAGTTAATTTTCTACTCATTTTCTACATTTTAATGAAAAATTTAAACGAACACACATATATAACAATATTCTGTGTTCATCGATGATAATAATAATAATAATAATAATAATAATTTTTCGATAGAAAAAATATAATGATATACCAAAAAATAATAGTAATATCTTAAAACATCTTCTTATTCATTCTAATCAAGTGAAAATTTATGAATCACATGTGCAACAATTTACAATGTATCCTAAATTCACAGCATATATTATTGCTCTAGATCAAGTTCATTGAGCAAGCTCTATGGAGGTCTTACATTCTATGCTAATATTTTATTTTCAGACCCGGAGTTATTAATTATCGAGGATCATGAATCGAACTTTTAAAAATGGCTTAAGTATGATTGTGGACAAACTTGACTTCATTTTCTAGGATGAGAATGACATGTGTGAAGGTTAGAGAAATCTTTGTTGATGATATACGTGAAGCTTCACGTTTTGCCAATCTCTGGCCTTGCAATAATTAAATAAGGGTTGGAAATTTTTGTTTCAAATGTCTTGGTAAACAAATAAAAATTCGAAAATTGAGGCAATAAATAAACATCAGTAAGACAATTGTAAGAACTCATTTGGTTATATGGTTGTGAGCCTCACTCCATATAACTTTTGGCAGTAACAAAACATTTTCCGATATCAAAGTTTCAAATAAAAATATTTTAGTTTGTAAGAGCAAGCAAATTGTATTCACATCGAGTTACCCTAGCCACAAACTCTTTATTTTTCATATTCAGCCAATGAGTTGAGTTCGAAGGTATTGATTAGTGTTAAAAGTAAATTAAACTATATATATGGCAAAGGTTAGGGAATGCCTACGCCCGTTGTGTATTGATATTTAGACAATATATTAACCCGAGTTTGGGGCATGAGACTATATACCCTAACCCCTAATGCGTGAACTCCAGTCTCCAATTCACTAACCTAAAGTATAATATTCATTTAATCTTGAAATGAAAATCAAAGATTCTAATTCATCGAATCATCTTCGGCTAATTCAAATGTGTCTATAATACATCCAAGAATTTAAATGCATGTGAAATGTTACAATGTTAGTAGGAAATTTTGTAAAGCTTTTTAAAATATGATAAATTAAGTGTTCAAGCAAAACATCATTTTAAAATACACTTGAATATGTGTGCGTCGTAGACACACTTTATTAATTATTAATATAAGTAATAAAATTTTTGTTCCATAACAAACACTAAAGACAAATTTTTTAGCAAATGAACATTTAAAAAGTTGAAAAATTATACACTGAAGGACAATGTAAAGATGAGAATCCTCAATAGTGTATGTGAGTGTCTTGGGTTGAGTTTCTAAAACAATATTTAGACAACAATCATGGATTGAGAGTTAGTCCAACTTTCAAAAGTAGCTTGAAATTTCCACAATATATATATATTGTATAAGATACTAAATTTGAGTATCTTGATAAACAAATTTTATCATAAGATCCTATACTAAGACTTAATGAACATCCACAACGAACATGAGTAAAGATTGAAGCATTTGATCTTCATAAGGTATACGATGCATGTAATTTCCATCATGATAAACATAATTTATCGGGTAATCAAGTATCTTTATCCTATAATCAGAACTCTCATTAATTGGTTGAGAGTCTGTCCAAACTCTAGAATAAATTATACATATAGATAAATTATTTAATATAAATAATAAAATGTAATTCTCCGGCCAACGGGCCGGTTAAAATACTTGTCTTTATTATTGTATTTGGTTGCTGTTTGTGCCTAGTAGATACTAGGCGGTTTGTGGAGCTGGGCGAGGCGCCTGTTCTTGGATGTTGGGGATAACTCCTGATACTCTGCAAAACAACGGTCCGGGGCGGTTCGCCCGGGACACTCTCCGAAGCTTAAGTTAGAGAGAGAAGGGGAGAGATAAGAATTTATGTAAGAGATGAATAGTAGTTGGCATTACCATTAATGCACTCACCCTCTATTTATACCTGGTTTGAGGGTGGTTGGGGCATTAAATGCTATGTCGGGCGCCCCGTGCAGGCTTTTTGGGTCATGTCAGGCAACCTGGGCAGGCTTTCAGCCTTTCTGCAGGCCGCCTGTGGTCGGCAATAAATGCTCAGTCTTGCCTGACACCAGATACGCATCTTCAACGGCTCTCTGCCCTTCTGTGTTGCTCAGTTGCTTTATGTCAGGCACCCTTATCTATTCCTCGGGTTCGCAGTCGATCATGGACCGCCCGCTGACCCGGTCTTTCGATCGGGCCCGGCCTCCTTATTGGGCCTTAAACGCCGACTCGCCTCTCTTGGGCCCGAGGCCCAAGTACGTTCAACTATGCGGCCCAACAATTGCCCCTTAGGCGGGAAAAGCCTAGGGTTTTGGCGGCTACCAATAATGCTCTCAGCTAGTTGAGCGGTTTGCTCCTCCTCCTTGTCCTACTCTGCCCCTGGTCGCCGGAGACCTAGGGTTGACTTGCCTAAGCAGCGCTCCAACCGCCTTACGGGTTTTTCTGGCAGAAACACTTTATACACGTGGCTGTGGGTTGGTTTCCGTGCTCTGACACCGGGCAGGCTAAACGTCCTTTCACCTGCCCACTTTTGAATTTTGCGGCCTAAAGCTCCCCCTCGGGCACTCAACCGTCACATCAGTCTCTTTTGTCGCTATATATACTCCGAGTGTTTCTGTTGAGAGGAACTTTCGCATTCCCTCTTTCTCTGTCACTTATTTCAAAATTGCGCGGTGCTCTAAGTTCTCTCTCTCTCGTTATTTGGAGACTCATCCTTCGATTCCAGCGGAACGATATCGGTTCCTTTCTTCTCTGAGAAAATCCCAGAAACGAGACAAGAAGAAGAGAAAACAGTTGTCCGCGATGGTTTCTCAGTCGACCACTCCGTCCGATAGCCAGAACCGCGGCCTTTCCGGCGAATCGGCGCCGCCGTCTGCT